GAGAAACTACATTGAAGATATCAATATGTAATACAATAAGCATTGTTAATTCCCTACCACTGTTTGTAACTCTGTAATGTCTGTACTGATCCTTTGCTATTTTGTAAAACGTTGTCGATCTGTTAGTATTTTCCTCCTTTTATTTCTAAAATAAAAAACAAACAAACAAACAAACAAACAAAACAAACAAAACAAAACCAGCCTGGCCAATATAGCAAGATTCCCATCTCTTTTTTTTTTTTTTTTCCGGTACCGGAAATCGAACTCATGACCTTGCGCTTGCCAGGCAGGCGCTGTGCCGCTGAGCTAAATCCCCAGCCCCAAAATTCCCATCTCAAACACGAAATAATAATAAAAATTTTAAAAAGAATGAGTGAAGAGAGGCTTTTATAAACCCAGAGTGGTCTCATTGGAACGTAAGGATTTCTAAAAAGCAATCGGCCTTCTTGGACAATAGAAATGGAAAGAAACAGACATGCTTTGTCTACTGTACCTCCACTTTTTTCAGTGAACATACCTCGTACAGGGCCTACCAGTGACTGTTCCAGCCCAGGAGGCCGCACGGACCCTTCCGGCTCCATCTCCCAGCAACTTGGTCTTCCCTCTTCCAGTGCAAATCACCAAAAGGCCATTATGACCTAGTTAAGTTGTACACAACCAAGTGGTCAGCCATGGCGGGGGCTAGGTAGGGAAAGTGGGTGTTTACCCACAGCTATACTCGTTCAGCAGGGACCACAAATATGACGGGAAAATTTGCCAAGGAAAGCTCAAATGAAACATTTGTTTTAATGAATCTGAATTAGAAAAGAAGCTGAACTTTTGGATATACAACCTTAACTTTTGAAGTTGGTATCAGGTCCAGAAGCCTCTTGCTACCTTACAAAGCCATGATCAAGGTGAAAATAAAGGGTATGGTACTGGATTAGTATGATCGACTATTCCTCAAATTAACAGTCCTCTCCAATTCCAGAATCAGATCTTCTGCCTGTTGAAACATCTGACCTCTTTGACAGGACTGGACCGTCCTCATCCAGACCTCTTTAGGTACTGTTTATAAGTACCAACAGACCCAGTGGACCAATGCACCCTGTACATGGTCCCACCGAAGTTGGTCTGCTATGGACCTCTGAGGAATTCATTAATTTTCCAAAATAAACATAGAAGATTCTTACGTTAATGTAATTGCTCAGTTCAAAGATCAGCAAGCTCTGGCCATGAGACAAGTTGCCCATTTTTACAAATAGAATTGTATTGAAATACAGCCGTGGCCATTTGTTAACATACCGTCTAGCGCTGCTTTGGGGTGTGATGGAAGCATTGCAAAGCCTAAAATATTTACTACTTGACCCTTCAAGAAAAATTTTGTGGACTCTTGTTCCAGTTTATTCTAGAAATGTTCAGCATGTTTGGGAAAACTTTGGATTGCTGTACAAAGTCAACAGCTACAAAGGAGTGGTACCCTGTTTTTCCAGGGCTATTTTTATGGCTTCATAATTCCTTAATCACTGTATGGATTAAATTAAACCAGAAGTCACTCAGACATCTCTAAAAATTATCTTATTGGCATAACTAACGCACACTCATGGATGAAAATTGTAAGTAATTTGATCTAGGTGGTTGTTTACAGTTTAACCCAAATGTACTTAGTCTGTTCTGGCTATTTATGTAAGAATTATATTTTTCTTGCAATATTTGTTCAAAAATAGTGGGTAATCATTTCCTGTGTGATCTGGAATGTGGGGGCCTTCGTCCAGACGCAGTCTTCAGATTTGTTTCTAAGACGTGGAAGAGTTGGCCTTTAGGCAATGTGATTTGAGTTTCCCCAAAGAGGATTTTAATTTTCATTTTTCACAACTGGAGAAACATGATCTTTCCTTGTGATTTAGTAGACCACACAGCCTCCTACCCTCTTATATTGTTTTTATGAAATAAATGCTAACTTGGTGTCTTGGTTACTTTTCTCTTGTTGCTGAGAAAAAATACCTGATGCCCAAAATTAAGAAAGGAAAGGTTTATTTAGCTTACAGCTTGGGGGGTTTCAGTCCATACTTGGCTGGCTCCAAGGCAGAGTGGCACATGGCAGAGGGCAACAGTTCATGGCGGTGGAAGATAGCAAAAGCAACAAGAGCAAAAGGGAGGAGTGGCAGAAAGCAGCCTCTTTCCCTCCCTTACACTGTATGCAAACTACCTGCCCCAGGGCGGGTGTAGCACTCACATCCATAGTCCCAACATTGGACCATGAGTCAATCATAAACTGTAAAAGCCCCCCCCATGACTGCATGCGTCTTTGGTGGGGGACATCCAGACACAAATCCTAACACTTGGTTTCTTTGTGAATCATTTGTAAAAAACTAAATTTCCCCATACTCAGGTGAGTGCCAAAGCTACCCATTTGGAACAAATAAGCTTTAGCTAGAAGCTTAGTAATAAAAATATGTTGGTTGCAATGGCTCTAATGTAGCACTCTAGTTTCTTTCCAGTGGTTTTCCCAACAAATCTTTTCCCTTGAAATGCAGGACCTTTAAGGCAGCTGCCACTCTCTCTCCACTCATGAGGCAGAGAGAATAGAGGTTGTGGTTTACATTTACAAAGGATATATGCATGCACGCATGTGTTCCTCCCATGGGCTCCTAACGCCCACAGCTAAGTTGAGAACCAGGGAAATAGAATCTTTTTGCAGCTTTCTGAATGGGAGAAACGTGTGTTCATGACCAGCAAATCGGAAACATATAGCCATCACCGCTTCTGGAAATTCAGGGCTGGGTTACAGCCAGACCAGCTGCCCTTGCCTGCATAAGAGGTAGTAGAGCCTGAGGCCTGGCCTTTCAGAGCTTGCCCTGCCTGCTCCCTTTCTCAAGTTTCCACCTCACAGCTGTTTCCACCTCAGCTTCGCTAGGTGTCCTCCTGCTCTGTACCCTGCAGCCTGTATTTCTCCCACAAGAGCACTGAGATTGCTTCTCCTCCTGTCTTTCCCATAACTACACTGTAAAGTGCATAAGTCCAACCTCCTTATTTTTTTTCCAACAGGACTTTTAGATAAGGTCATCAAGGCTTAAGTAGGGTTATGTGTTCCCGAGTACAAACCCCACCATGGGAATTCAGTGGTTTTGAATGAAAGAGTGGATGACTGACTGAAGACACTTCACATCTGGGTAGGGCAGAAACTGTGGAGTTAAGAGTAGCTATGTTTCCAGCACACCGAGGGGCAGGGACGTTTCCCAGAGAGTGCGTGGATCAGCCTCAAGGGAGTAGCCACAGCAGAGAGCAACTGCTTTCCCTTCCTCCTTTCCCTCCGGACCTGCCCGGGTCTCCAGGCAGAGAGGCTAGAGCCCTGCCATATACAATTAATGGAGCTTTTGATGTTCACGCCATTCTTAGAGAAGAACCCTTTGTTTCACCACTGTGTCCAGAAGTTCAGACACTCAGCTCCGGGTGCCACAGTGCAGAGAATGTCACAAGCTTGTAGGAAAACTGCACCATTGCTATGGGGATTCTTTTAATATTCCTCCAATTTCTTCTCAGTGTCTCATTGCATGTGGGACTGATTTCTCCTGCAGGTCCTGCATCCATGAAATCTGTACTAATTTCAATATGTGCCAGAATGAGATCAGCCAATCCCTTTCCCCTGCATTTACCTTTCTATCCCCTCCGCCGATGCAGAGCCAGCCCTGTGTGTGCTCCTTGTCTTAGAAAAGCCAAGTGATAGAGGCAGAGAAACAAGTGTATTTGTGGCATTGAGATTCAGAAGCTGCCCTTACTGAAGGAAACAAACCAGCAAATGAACTAGTGGCGTAGACACTATTTGGAAGATAGAATAGAAAAGAGGAAAACAGTTTTGGAGAGAAAAAAACAAATTCTTGGGAAAATAGAAAAAATGTGAAGGGGCCCTGTGCCCAACTCCAAGCTCACCTGGAAAGTGGTGCAGTCCCAAATGTGGCATTTGGGAACAGAAAAGACATTTCCTGAATCCTCAGGTGAGCCCCAGGAAGGTGGCAAGACCTCCAATAAGTAGGGGCTGAGTGGGTCCCCGCTGAAGAGGCCTTAAGCAGACGTGCATATTTCTGTGTCCCAGGGAGACTGTAGTGTATTTACCGGTGCCCAGAATGCCAGAGAAATGAAGGGCATGGCCCGAAACAGTCGTGCAGACAAGGGTAAAGATATCTTGACATGTGCCCCATGGGCACCAGTTCTTCACTCCTCCCCTGCCCACTGCAAACCTCACAGACAGCCTCTCCCTGGGCCCGTGCTGGCCAACCTACGGCACATATACTGCAGTGGGCTGTGTGTGTCGTTGGAAAAGCTCTAAAAGGTTCGCCATCATTGCCCTAGACATGCTCCCAGGGAAAAGGAAGGTGGAAGACCATGAGTTCCGGATGATCAGTTTCTGACAATGCAAAGAAATGGGTTCCTGCCATCAAAGTACGGTTCTGCTTCTCACAAATGTGTGAGCTTCAAATTGTATCCGCTCCTCAGAGCTTACTGCTGTCCAGGGCTGGCATTTCTCACAGCCTAGCATGCCCAGCTACTTACATGTCTTCCTTGTGGCTGCTGAGGTTCTAGAAGCCATGAAAATGGAGCCAGTAACCAGGGAAAAGTTTCTGTCCTGACAGCAAAATGTCCCTGTTCTCTCCCGCAAGGGCCAGGACAAACATGCTAAAAAGTAGAGGCAGCGTTTCAGCATTACAAAAAACATTTTCCTAAGCTCAAGCATGATATTAACTATTTTAGTATCAGTTGATTAAGAAAACACATAACAGAAAGCAAAGATATATTCAGTAACATTGCAAACTAATTTCTCACATTCATCACAGTGACATTTGTGCTGATTTGAACAGTAATCCGTATATATAAGCACATCTGTCGTTCCATCTACAGACAAAACATGCACATGGGTTTGTAGCTCCCTGGTTTGAACTCCGTATCTCCTAGGGGTCTGCAGCCCACAGGCCGGTATGAGGGAGGCCAAAAGATTTTGAGTCGGTCCATGTAGAAAATGCAGGATGTACGATGGCAGTGTCTTGCAGGATTCCCTCTTTCAATATTTCAGTCTGTGGACGCTGGCAGAAGACATAGTCTGCTGCAAAACAGATCACTCCTTTTTTGTTTGCAGAGTCTTCCTACCAGCTGAATCACAGCTTGCTTTTCACTTCTTGTAACATCTTGCAACATCACAAAATATTTGCTGCAGCTTGCGAAGGGCGGCTGCGGGATGAGTAAACTGAGAGGAGGCCTTCCTTCACTCCCACCCTGTCAGCACCTTCTGTTCCAGCAGCCTGAAAGGCAGCTTGAGAGCTCTGATTGCTTCTCCAGATTATGACAATTCCTGGCATCGTAGCCCTGGGCAAGAATGGAAGCAAAGGAAACATGGAGTTTTGCAGGTGTCAGTACATAATACTGTCATTTTACAGAACTGAATTTATAAATGACTCCATGAAGGTGAGTTACTATGGTAACCGGATTTCTCAACTATTATATCTGGAAGTAAGGATGTTGTGGACCATTTCTGTTTGGGACTGCGTATTCTGGGTTTCATGAGTAACTACTCGTCCTCCAACTCCCAGGTAACAGGCCCATGGAACACAAGACCAGGAAGGAACTCAGCCACCATCTAGTTCCACTTCCCAGGTCTGAACTGAGACCCGGGGATGTGAGGCTGCACAGCTAACATGTGTTGGCCCCAACCCCATGTTTCCTTACTTTGTTTTATGTGCTCTGTCTTTATGTGCTGGTTTATGAATGTCTAGTTATGTCTATCACAGTCACAGATTGCGTATTCCAACAATTTTCCTGTACCCCAAAGGATGGATAGGAAGGTAGCAGGAGAGGGTAGGAAGTCACCTGAGGAACTTGCTCTAGTGTTATGGTTCCAACATATACATAGATTTGCAATTTGCAAAGAATTAGAATACACCTCAGTTTGGGTGAACATAAGATAAACTTCCTCTAGCGACCTAAAATTATCTTTTATGTTTTTCTCAAGGCCTAGTTTCTTGAATAATTCTCATTATAAAAATGCATGCAAAAATACTTTGGATAAGACATTTTCCTTCCAACTGATAAATCACCAGCCCACAAAAGATTTAGCTGTTAGGTGTTGTCTTGGTTACTTTTCTCACGTTGCTGAGACAAAATATTCAACACCCAAAATGAAGGAAGGAAAGGTTTATTTAGCTTACAGTTTGTGGAGGTTTCAGTCCATACTTGGCTGGCTCCGAGGCAGAAAGTAGCAAAGCAACAAGAGGAAAGCGGGGAATGGCAGCCAAACAGCAAACAGCCAGAGCAAAAGGGAGGAACCGGCGCAAGCAACCTCTTTCCCTCCCTTACATTGTAAACAGGCTACCCCCACCTAAGTGGCATGTAGCTCTCCCATAATGTCCATGCCCTCCTCTTCCACAGGCTCAGCATGTATACAAAGTAAGCACCCTGGCTTCCTGCTGAGTCACTTAGCCAAACCTCTAGACTCCCTAAGTTGACACAATGTATCAACCATAACAATCCACCCCTTGTCAACTTGGCAACCATACACATTTCTTTAAACCAGTTTCCAGGTACAAAGACATTATATTCCATTAGAACCATAACATTTCACCCCCTAAAGACTCATGCACATCCCCTTATGCAAAAGGTATTTAGTCCATCTGCAAGAGTTGCCAAAGTCCTAACAGTTGCAACATAGCTGAAGAGTTCAAGTCCCAAGTCTCCTCCGAGATGTAAGGCAAACTCTTAGCTGTGACCCCCTGTACAAACGAAAAGCTAAACACTTCCAACATTCAATGGCACAAAATAAGCAGTACCATTCCAAAAGGTACAAATAGGGGGAAACAGAGCATTGGGACCAAAGCAAGTCCGAAATCCAGCAGGGCTAACATTATGTCCTGTAATTCCACATGCAGCATCTGAAGCAACTTGTGGCACACTGTGAGCTCCAAAGGGTTTGCACGAGTCCACCCCTATGGCACTTCTGGTGGTTACAGCTTCCACGGCTTCTCTCTTAGGCCTGCTTTGCTCCCTCCCTACAGCTTTTCTCAGATGATCCACGGTCCTGGCTTTTCTAAACTTCTGAGGTCTCCAGAGCACCTTTTGCTTCACACTCACAGTCTCACACAATACCCTCTCAGGGGCACACTGCCTGGCCTCCCAGGCCTTCTGAAATCTGGGTGGAAGCCTCTTTAACCTCAGGACTCTTGCATTCTCCATGCACCTAAAGCCAGGGCCACAGGGGCAATGCCAAGGTCTGCTGCCACCTGGAACAGTAGCCAAGTTTTCCTCTCTGTTGGCCTCAGGGGTCGAGTGCCTGGATCGCTGGGCACTCTGAATCCAGTTCTGAGGAACAAATTTTCTATGCTGCCGCCATTCTGGAACCTGGTGCGGCCGCTGCCGCCATTCCGGAACATGACACTCAGCAGCTTTTTCCTCAAGGCAAGGTCTTTCACCTTTGCAGTTTTGAGGCTGCAAAGGGGGGAGACTTGCTGCTTCTTGTGATGCCCTCAGGCCATCTTTTTTATTTTCTTGTTCTTTCTCAGCTATGGAGAGCTTCTCAGCTCCACCTTTGCAGTCCACAGCTTTACTGCAGCTTTCTTTCTGGCCAAACTCACAACATTTTAAATCATCCTGCTGGGCTCTTTGTTCTTGATTCTCAATATAAATCTGGCTAAAAGCTCCCAACAATAGCCATGCCACTTCCCCAAAGTCTGACTGCCTTGAAATTTCTTTTGCCAGATTAACCACTCCACTGCCGCCCTTAATCTCAGTCTTAGGCAAAGTCTTTGGACACAAGCAAAATGCAGACAAACTTTCTGCCAAGACATAACACACATCGTCTGGAATCCAACAACCAATGAAGTCCTTCTTCCCAGCAGAAACCTCCTGAAGCTGGTCTTTACCAGCAGAATTTCTATTAGCCTTCTGGTCTTCGGAGCTCTGACCAGAATCTCCCAGACAGAACAGCCGAAGCTGTTCTAGCGCTTCTCTTTCAGGCGACATCTCTGAACCTTTCCGAACACTTCCCACAAGCCATTTCCAAAGGCTCTTGAACCACATGGTCAGGTATAGTCACAACAAGGACCCCACTCCTCTGGTACCAAATTCTGTCTTGGTTACTTTTCTCTCGTTGCTGAGACAAAATACCCAACGCCCAAAATGAAGGAAGGAAAGGTTTACTTAGCTTACAGTTTGTGGAGGTTTCAGTCCATACTTGGCTGGCTCCAAGGCAGAAGGTAGCAAAGCAACAAGAGCAAAGGGGGGAATGGCAGTGGAACAGCAAAGCAGCCAGAGCAAAAGGGAGGAATCGCAGCAAGCAACCTCTTTCCCTCCCTTACATTGTAAACAGGCTACCCCCACCTTAGCGACTTGTAGCTCTTGCATAATTTCCATGCCCTCCTCTTCCACAGGCTCAGGATGTATACAAAGTAAGCACCCTGGCTTCCTGCTGAGTCACTTAGCCAAACCTCTAGACTCCCCAAGTTGACACAATGTATCAACCATAACAGGTGTTTCCACGGGTTCTTATACAGCAGAATGGCAAAAGCTTATAGCATTTAGTACCATTCTTATAAAAGTGCATCAACATTCAAAATTAAAACTACAAAGGGAATTAAAAGTGTTAGTACATTTTAAAGAGACCTAGAAATACAAACACTTGGTCCCCCAAGGTCTTTAAATGTGTGTAAACCCCCTGAGATCTTGCTAAAATGCCGATTCTGGCTCGGGAGGTCTGGGACAAGTCTGCATGTCTAACAAGCTCTCAAATGATAGCAGTGCCTCTGGTCTGCGGGTTACACCTGGGGTAGAAAGGGACTTGTTTACTCGCAGTCTCCCTGGTATGTTCTCTGTGAAGGGCAGCCTGGCCTTCAGACCTGGGACCGTCGCAGTCGCAGAAACCTTTCAGGTCTGCAAATTTCTAATTCTCTTGTTATATGTATTATGTTCGTGGCACTTAGGTACATCTTGTATATTCCCATGTCCCATCCCATATGTGCATGTCTTATGCCCCCACCCGGACTATAAACCCATCTCATCTATATCTGCCAACCCTGGGTGTCGACATAGCTCCTGAATGAAAAACTAGTCATGACTGACTCCATTCATCGTCAGTTACTTCCGGAATGCCTCACTTAGCTCATCCATGAGCTCAAGACTGAAATGTCTGGCCCAAGAGATATTGAGTTTACTCTGACTCATTTCTCATCTCTCATGTTACCTTTTAGAAATCAATTTCTATGTAGAGTTCTTTCAGGTCAGTGATAAAAGAGCAAACAGCTGTGAGGATTTAGAGGGCTATCACAGAAGGCAGGGGGTTCATGGGTTGTAGCAGGCCACCAAAGAGGAAGCAGTAGGATACAATGGAAGAACACTGGCCTGGAGCCTAACAGACCTGGGTTCAAGCCTCTTTCTATTCCCTACGAAGTTGTATAGTTTAAGAAAAGTTACTGAAACCCACTGGAAATTCATTTGCTCACCTGTATAGGGGATGCTTTTTCCTGCAGCTGTTAGAAGAGCTACAGTAATGCATTATAAATGGCCTAGCCTGATGCTCAGTGAAAGATAGATGTTATAATCTCTGCAGAATCACTTCCACACAGAATTGCAATTTGAGTCTTTGCCCCGCCCCCTTTGAGAAAAAAAAAATCAGGAGGATAAATTACATGTGGGGCATTAGTGCCATCTAGTGGTGTACCACTGTCTAGGCTGCCTGGTAGACAAGTCTTCCAGTACCTTCCAAGGGTTGCTTCATTTCATTCAACAAGTACTTTGCGTGCCTGCTGTGTAACAGGCACTGATCTAGCTGCTGAAGCTACCACCATGAGCAAGACAGCCATGGTCCCCGCCCTAAGGGAGTTTGTCAGTTCGTGCGAAAGACGGCTGATTTTCTCTTCATCCTTTAGCAGACGGTGCTCAGAGAGGTTAAGGAACTCGCACAAAGATGTAAAATGACGTCAGAAACGAGATTCCCATCAGATCTTTCTGCTAGTAGAGTCCACTTCCTTTCCTCTGCTCTTGCTGTGTCCTGAATGTAATGCCCAGTTCTGTGTGCTGCATGGTACTGCAAAAAGGGCACCAGTAGGAGAAGTTTTTGGAGAGAATGAAATTGCAGAGGAAAGGGGAGAACATAAAAAACAGCTCAGTGGGTCATCTGTGAGGGGCAGAAAGACAGCTGCTGATGTGGCTAATTATGCTCCTCTGGCACAGTTTTAGAAAAATAAACCCAAGCAATCTCCTCCACCAGGAAAGAAAATATCCCTAATAATACTCCTTATGCTTTTGTGTTTTAAAACGTGTTATAGCTATGCTAAGTTAAAATGATATTCTCTGGAAATCTATAGAAAAATGCAAGGGTT